GTCTTAAGAGGATTCCAAATGCAAGTTAGCTCTGTAGTACTAGACAGCATCATCCTCTTGGCATACTAATATGTTCAACAACTAAGAGGATACACTGAGATCTTATGTCTAGAGATTTCCAGGATTCCATTTCATAGGCATAACTGATGATATCAATGGCCACATGACTGAATTCAATCATGTCAATTCTCTCCCCATAAATTTGAGCTACAACCTCTTTAATCACAGCTCGTCATCAAATATGTCCAAGGGTCTAAAAAATAGCAAAGACATGGGGCTGGGAAGGTGGCTCAGTGGTAGAGCGCTTGCCTTGCAGGCTTGAGGCCGTGGGTTCGATTCCTCAGCACCACATAAGCAGAAAAAAAAAAAGCTGGAAGTGGCGTTGTGGCTCAAGTGGTAGAGTGCTAGCCTTGAGCTGAAGAGCTAAGGGACAGCGCCCAGGCCCAGAGTTCAGGCCCCACGACCGGACACCCCCCCCCCAAAAAAAAACAACAGCAAAGACATTTCTAGTAATCAGAAAATCCTAAGGATATATCAGATTGTTCCTCTGAAGAACCAAGAACAAAGGCAATTTGCATGTGCTGAGGAACACCTTATGGTCTTTTTCTTTTTTTTTGTCACTAATAGGGTTTCAACATAGGACCTTGAATTTGCTCAGCAAACAAGAATCCATGCCACTAGCTCAGGCCTTAGCTGGTTAATTGAAGATGGGAGTATTATGTACTTTTCAATCCAGGATGGCTTCAAACTACAATCTCTGAATCACATTTATTAATAGCCACCTGAGTAGCTAAGATAACAGGTATAAGCCATCAACACCCAACTTTTTCCTTCATTTTTACTGGAGAGTGAGCTTCATAATGGTGGGAAAGTGCTCTAACAAAGAACTACATTCCTTAGCCCAAAGTAGTAAAAATTATTATTAATTTTATTAACTTTTAGCCTTTTATGACATGCTAATTTTTTTCTTTTCTGCCAGTACTGAGGCTTGAATTCCAGGTCCTATACTCTCACTTGCTCAGGGCTGGCATTCTACCACTAAAGCCAAGCCATCAATTCTGATATCCTAACACCAGGAGATTGGTTATCTTAAGGAACAGCAGAAGCTGAGTGCAAGGTTCATGCCTACAATCCTAGGTACTCGGGAGGCTGAGATCTAAGGATCCTGATTCAAAGCCAGTCCAGACAGACAAATCTGAAAGACTTTTATCTTCAAGTAACCACCAAAATTAATGTCCAACTAACCCCCAGAAAACCAGGTGTGGAGCTCAAGTGGTAAAACAACAAAGAAGTTAAGGGACAATGCTGATAACTAAATTTAAGCCCTAGGAGCTAAGGGACAGTGCCCAGGCCCAGAGTTCAGGCCCTATGACCCACAAAAAACAAAAACAACAACAAAAAACTAAGTTTAAGCCCTAGTACTGGCACCAAAAAAAAAAAAAGCTGTAACATGAAAAACTTGACAATATTTATCAGTATAAAATTTTGAATTTTAGGGGCTGGGAAGGTGGCTCAGTGGTAGAGCGCTTGCCTTGCATGCCTGAGGCCCTGGATTCGATTCCCAGCACCACATAAGCAAAAAGAAAAAAGGCGGAAGTGGCGCTGTGGCTCAAGTGGTAGAGTGCTAGCCTTGAGCTGAAGAGCTGAGGGACAGCGCCCAGGCCCAGAGTTCAGGCCCCACAACCGGACCCAAAAAAAAAAAAAAAAAAAAATGAAAATGAGAATTTCTGGAAATTTGTGTCTATCACTGTGACTTTGATAGCTTCCTAAAGTGGTGGCATTTACAAAATCTGTTTATCTCTCATTAAATCATAATTTTCAAATAATCAATTCAAAATGACACTAAATCATAAAAAGGTGAAAATTTATGTATTTTACTGAATGGCAAGTTTTATAGGAGCTAGGCACCAGTGTCTCATGCCCCTTAATCCTAGCTACTGAGGAGGCTAAGATCTGAGGATCAAGGTTCAAAGCCAGTCTGGGCAGGAGAGTCCATCAAACTGTAATTTCCAAGAAACCACCAAAAAGCCTCAAGTAGAGGTTTGGCTATAGAGGTATGGTTGAAGTGGTAGATGAACTGATGACTATCTTTTAAAATTTTAAGATAGTCTCACTATGTAGCCCAGGCTGGTCTCAAACTCATAATTCAATTGCTTCCCCCGCTTCTAGTGCTGAAATTATAGATGTGTTTCTAGTGCTGAAATTATAGATGTGTCTCACCACATCCCAGCTAGGAATTGTTCTTATTCAATCCAAAACATGCGAGTGTAGGTGTGTGGGTGTTGGTATTAGGGCTTGAAATCAGGGCCAGGACATTGTTCCTTAGCTTTTTTTTCCCCCAAGGCTGGTTCTCTACCACCTGAGCCAGACCTCTTCCAACTTTTGCCAGGTTAATTGGCGATAAATAGTCACTTGGACTTTTCTACCCCAGCTAGCTTACAACCTAGAACCTCAGATTTCAGCCTCCTGAGTAGCTAGGATTAGAAATGAACCAATTTGATCAGAACAAGACTATCACATTAAACAAATTCAGTATTGGGCTGGGAATGTGGCTTAGTAGTAAACTGCTTGCCTAGCATGCATGAAGCCCTGGATTTGATTCCTCAGTACTACGTAATAAAAACAAAAAAAAAGCCAGAAGTGGTGCTATGGCTCATGTGGTAAGAGTGCTAGCCTTCAGAAAATAACAAGTTCAGGGACAGTGCTTTGGCCCTGAGTTCAAGCTCCAGGACTGGCCAAAAGTAATTTTTTTTTCAGTATAGTTCTGACTTAAAACCAAAAAAACTCAACTTTTAAAATCAAGTAACTTAAACTAGATCTAGACCCAGAGGATCACAGCTGTTAAGGCCAGCTACTTGGAATGAAGATCAAAAGGATTTCACCAAGGCAAAAAGTTACTAAGAACACCATAATAACAAGTAAGTTGAGCACAGTGATACAAGTAGGAAGACAGTAGTCCAAGGTAAAAACCCAAGACCATATCTGAAAGATAACCAAACTATAACAGAGCTTGGGGGGGGGGTGGTGGAAGTGAGGCTTAAGTGCTATAGTGTACCTCAGTTCAAAGCAAAACAAAAACAAAGGGGCTGGGAAAGTGGCTCAGGGGTAGAGTCCTTGCCTCGCATGCATGAAGCCCTGGGTTCGATTCCTCAGCACCATACAAGCAGAAAAAGCCAGAAGTGGCGCTGTGGCTCAAGTGGTAGAGCGCTAGCCTTGAGCTGAAGAGTTGAGGGACTGCACCCAGAACCAGAGTTCAAGCCTCACGACAGACAAAAAGAAAAACAAAAAACACAACAATTAAAACACCTAAAATCTGACAGTTCCCCCAAAGTAAACACTACAAAAGCAAAAATGAGCCAAGTACTGGTGGCTGTCACCTATGATCCCAGCTACTCAGAAGGCTGAAATCATAGTTCAAGGCTACTCTGGGCAGGAAAGTCTATGAGACTCTTATCTCCAATAAACTACCGAAAATAAAAAAAAAATCCCAAGTAGAGCTGTGGGTAGAATGTAAGACATGAGTACAAAAGCTCAGGGACAGCACTAAGGCCCTAAGTTTAAACCCCAGGATTCATCCCTACCACCTCCAACACACACACAAAGTAAAGTTAGGTATCAGTGGCTCACACTTGTAATCTGATAATACTCAGGAGACTGAGATCTAAGAGGATCATGGTTCAAAGCCAGCCCAGGTAGGGAAATCTATGAACTTTCATCTCCAATTAAGCATCAAAAGAGCCAGAAGCAGAGCTGTGGCTCAAGTGGTAGAGTGATAAGTTGAGTACAAAAGCTCAGGGACAGTACCCAGTTTAAGCCCTAGGACATGCACCACCTGTAACACCTGCACCATCTGCATCACCATCACCACCACCACAACACACACAAAAAAGTAAAAATGAAAAAAGTCAAATTCCAAACTTACAATATTAAAATCCAACTATAATATTACTTTATGTTTTCAGTTTATGATTCGTGACACTATTCTAACTTATTTGTTTACTAGAAGGACTGGACCAAGGGCCTTAGGTATGCTAAGCGTGTGCTCTATCATAGAGATACTATGCCCTCAGTCCTACCATTTTTATATTAAAATAAGAAAGAGTAGTCATAGTACTTATAAAAATCTTCAATTAAAATACTTAATATAAACCATATTAGATAAGTAAACTTACTCAAACTTCAGACCAAATATACTGTTCAGGTATATTAAATATCCTATCTTAATTGAAGGGCCTACAAATTAATTCATCAAGAATGTAATAAGGGCTGTGATGTATCTTAATGGGAGAGTGCTCGCCTCGCATGCAATTCCTCAGTACCACATAAACAAAAAAATCTGGAAGTAGCACTGTGGCTCGAGTGGGTAGAGTGCTAGCCTTGAGCAAAAGCTCAAAGACAGAGCCCAGGCCCTATGTTCAAGCCCCAAGACTGGCCCAAAAAAATGTAAATAAGCTGGCAGTGGTAGCTCATGCATAATCCTAGGTACTCAGAGACTAAGATCAAGGTTCAGAGCCAACCTAGGAAGAAAGTCCATGAGACTCTATCTCCAATTAACCAGCAAAAAGCTGCATATGAAACTGTGGTAAACTGTGGTATAGCACTAGCCTTCAGCACAAAAATTAAGGGACAGTGCCAGGCACTGAGTTCAAGCCCAGTACCAGCACACACACAAAAAAGTAAATAGATGTGACTACTAAAAAAAAGAGCTATAAATTTGCTTAAGGTAGAAGTGAAATAAAAGCCGGGCGCTGGTGGCTCACGCCTGTAATCCTAGCTACTCAGGAGGCTGAGATCTGAGGATCGCGGTTCAAAGCCAGCCCGGGCAGGAGAGACCGTGAGACTCCTATCTCCAATAAACCACCAGAAAACCGGAAGTGGCGCTGTAGCTCAAGTAGAGCGCTCTCCTTGAGCTGAAGAGCTGAGGGACAACGCCCTGGCCCAGAGTTCAAGCCCCAAAAAAAAAAAAAAGAAGAAGTGAAATAAAATCATTTACTGCTTACCAGGATTATGATGGGTTGTAAATCTTCCATTCTGAAACACATCTCCTGCGATATTCATTCTACCAGGATTAAAAGGTCTTACTCCAGTCTTGGTCTGTGAAGTTAAAGATGGGGTGTATGTTTGTATATTAACACCAAAATAACTTGACTGAAGTCCTTTAGCGATATCTCCCAAGTTGGTATTCTATAGTGATGTCATATGTGTAATCATATGGGCTTACACCTGTTTCTAAGGTTGTACCATTAATAATATGTATTTCAGAGTCAATTCTGAAGTGAAAACACTATTACCCATTTCTGCATTTACCTTACTTCTTGAAAGACTGGAAGTGGAGAAATCCAAATCTTTGATACTAGTTTTAGTTCCTGGAAGTCCCCATTCAGTAAAAGTGGAACAATTTTTCTCCTGCCCCTCATCTGTTTCTATGTCCTCTTCATCATCAATAACAATTGTGTCACATATATTTCCCTTCTGAGGAGGTAAATCTCTTGAGGAAGGCAAAATTATAGTATAATTTCCTTGTGGCTTTTCATGTTTTGATGATGCCAACAAAAAGTTTCTTTGATCAGCTATTCCTGGAGCAGAAATTGAAGGAGGGTGTATAGATTCAATAAAAACAACATCATCATCATCGTCCACTGAAGTGTTTATAGATCTATTGACTAAAGGACTAGTTGGATGACCAAATGAATTTCTTATGTCCATGATACCAGCTGCCATGGCTGTATTCTCTAATACATCAGCAGACTGATCAGTCAATTCTAATCCTCCCACTGAATGCTTATCCATGCCAAAGAATCTGTAAGAGAAAAGAAAAAAAGTTTTATTACACTTTTTTTTTTCATTTTACTGCATTGAAACAGCATTCGTAAAATTTTCAAATCTTTGGTAGTTTGTAGCCAGGTACTGGTGGCTCATGCCAGTAAGCCTAGCCATTAGGTGACAAAGATCTGGAGCATTAAGGTTCAAATCCCTGAGACTCTATTTTCAAAATAACCGTAAGGTAGGGGACAGGTAGGGGAGAATGATGGAAGAGATGACATTGATCAAAACACACTTTACTCATAAGTTGACATGCTGAATTAAAACTCCTTTGTACAACTACTTAAAGCTAATAAAGAAAACAAAGATAACTATCAAAAAGCAGATCTAAGCTAGGTGCAGTAGCTCATGCTTGTAACCCTAGCTACTTGGGAGTCTGAGATCTGAGGATCAAGGTTCAGAGCCAGCCCAGGCAGGAAAGTCTACGTTTTTTGTGTGTATGTGCAGGCATGCATGTTTGTACATGCGTGCCAGTCCTGTGGCTTGAACTCAGGACCTGGGCACTGGCCCTGAAAGGCTTAGCCTTCTACTTCTTGAGCCACAGCTTCACTTCCAAATATTTTTTGGTGATTAATTGGAGATAAGAATCTCAAGAAATTTTCCTGCCCAAGCTACTTTTGTACCTTGATCCTTAGATCTCAGCCTCCTGAGTAGGTAGGATTACAGGTGTGAACCACTGTGCTGGGTTTGTCCATGAGATTCTTCTCTCCACTTAACCTGCAAAAAAGATGTAAGTGGACCTGTGGCTCAAGTGGTAGAGAGCTAGACTTGAGCAAAAATGCCCTGAGAGAGTGCCCAGGCCCTGAGTTCAAGCTCTAGGACTGTATAGAAAAAGGGCAGGTCTGCAGGCTTGGCACAAGTAGTAGAGCACAAACTGAGCAAACAAACTGAGTGAACATAAAGCCCTGAGTGCAAACCCTTCTACTGTGTTTAAAAAATCCCTTTCCCTTCTTTCTTGACAGTACTGGGGCTTAAAATCAAAGCCTTGAGCTCTTTCTCTCTTCCTTTTCACTTACACTACCACTTGAGCCATATTCCCACTCCCCCCCCCTTTTTTTTCCTTCTCATCGTGGGGCTTGAACTCTGGGTCTATGTGCTGTCCCTCAGCTCTTCACGACACTTCCGCCTTTTTCTGCTTAAGTGGTGCTGAGGAATCGAACCCAGGGCTTCATGCAGGGAAGGCAAGCACTCTACCACTGAGCCACCTTCCCAGCCCCCACCCCCCTTTTTCTTTTTTGTCAGTTATGGGGTTTGAACTCTGGGCCTGGGCACTGTCCCTCAGCTCTTCGGCTCAAGGTTAGCACTCACTCTACCACTTGAACTACAGGGCCACTTCTGGTTTTCTGGTACTTAATTGGAGAGAGGAGTCTCAGGGAATTTATGCCCAGGCTGACTTTGAACCATGATCCTTAGCTCTCAGCCTCCTGAGGAGCTAGGATTACAGACATGAGCCACCGGCATCAGCCTGGTTTCTTATCTAAACTTTCAAGGAAATGGCTAAAATTCCATAATAAACCCCACGTTTAAACAAGCAGAGGAGGGCCAGGCACTGGTGGCTCATGCCTGTAATCCTAGCTACTCAGAAGGCTGAGACCTGAGGATCAAGGTTCAAAGCCAGCCTGGGCATGGAAGTTCATGAAGACTCTTACCTCCAATTAACTACCAGAAAATCAGGAGTGATGCAGAGGCTCAAAGTGGTAGTGCACTAGCCTTGAGCAGAAGAGCTCACAGACAGAGGTTAGGCCCAGAGTTCAAGCCCCAAGATGGACAGGACCAAAAAAAAAAAAAGTAAGTAGGGGAGGGAGGAGACTGGCATTTTTTTCCCCCATTAGCTATGTAAATATTTACTTGCTGTGCAATGATGTCATTATTACTATCTCAATACAGTAAGTTTTCTTTTTTTTTTCCTTTTTTTTTTTATTTTGGGGTCGTGGGGCCTGAACTCGGGCCTGGGCGCTGACCCTCAGTTCTTCAGCTCAAGGCTAGCACTCCACCACTTGAGCCACAGTGCCACTTCCGGCTTTTTTCTTATGTGGGGCTCAGGAATCCAGCCCAGGGGCTTGAGAATGCAAGGCAAGTGCTCTACCACTGAGCCACCTTCCCAGCCCTCAATACAGTAAGTTTTATTTTATTTATTTATTTTGTTAGTCGTGGAGCCTGAATTCTGGGCCTGGGCACTGGCCCTCAGCTGTTCAGCTCAAGGTTAGCTTTCTACCACTTGAGCCACAGCACCCACTTCCAGCCTTTTCTGTTTATGTGGTACTAAGGAATCAAACCCAGGGTCTCATGCATGCAAGGCAAGCACTCTACCACTGAGCCATCTTCCCAGCCTTTTATTTTTATCAAAGTTTGAACTCAGGGCCTTATGGCTTGCCAGGCAGGTACTTTTGCCATCAGCCCTTTTTAGTGCTAAGTATTTTTGCTTCTTATTTTTTTAATGATTTTTTTTAATTAAATTTTTTTTTATTTATTTGCTTTTTATGTGGTACTAAGGAATCGAACCCAGGGCCTCATGCTTGCTAGGCAAGCACTCTATCACTGAGCCACCTTCCCAGCCCTTTAATGATTTTTTTAATTGAGATAAAGTAATTACATAAATTTCACAGAATTGTGAGATAGTGATACTTCAAAGTCATAAACACATTTTAGCCTTCACAAGGCAAATTATTATCATGGTCTATAATGTTTGTGAATTCTATGAGCTTTGACAATATAACTGTTTCTTCTACATCGGGTGCTACGTACATTTTTTTCCTGTTGCTTTGTGTAAGCTGTTCCCTCTTTCCCTGTCATTCCCTCCCTCCCATTGCTGCTCTTGAGTTGCTGCTTAGTTTGTTTTCATCAATGTCCAGTGCAGCCGATGGGCCCCTCTGTTGTATATTTTCCCGTTTCCCTCTGATTCTGTGTCCTCCTCCTAGCTTCCCTCAGATGTGCACATATATATATACCATATATGTGTTCAAGAACATGGAGTCATTTACAAATGATACAACAAATTGAGTGGATGTGCTTTGTTTCTTTTTGCTTCCTATTTAAGCTTTCCCTAGTGGCTAGGTGTTCACCATCACTTCCCCTTCTTTGAAGAGAAGGGGTTTTGGGTCCATTTCCATCCAAGCTGGCCTTGAATTGTGATCCTACCAAGCTGAATCTCCTAAGTACCTATTTTTTGCTTTTTTTTTTGAGATAGTCTCCCTATACAACCCAAGCTGTCCTTGACTGAACCCCTCTAATGATGGTATTACAAGTGTGTATCAACATGTCCAGCAACATTCATTGTTTTAATTTGGGTTTTGAGACTTGAATGAAGGGCATTATGTTTTTCCTTATTTTTTTGTTCAAAGCTAGCACTCGACCACCTGAGCCACACCTCCATTTTCAGCCTTTTGTTGTCTAACTGGAGCTATGAATCTCTCAGACTTTTCTGTTTCAGGTTGGCTTTGAGATACTTGATCTCAGCCTCCTACAGTAGCTAGGATTATAGGTATGAGCCATCAGTGCCCAGCTGTAACTTTTATTCTTTTTTTTGTTGTTTTTTTTTGTCTTTTGTTTTGTTTTTTTGCCAGTCATGGGGCCTGAGCTCTGGGCCTGGGCGCTGTCCCTCAGCTCTTCAGCTCAAGGCTAGCGCTCTACCACTTGAGCCACAGCGCCACTTCTGGCCTTTTCTGCTTATGTGGTGCTGAGGAATTGAACCCAGGGCCTCATGCATGCAAGGCAAGCACTCTACCACTGAGCCACCTTCCCAGCCCGTAACTTTTATTCTTAATATGTGCGATGCCATGAAATATTTATAACTATTACCTGTTTACATAAGTAAGCTTTACTACTACCGTTTCTACTTTATTGACAAAGAAACTAAAACTAGAAGATAAAAGTAACCTGCCCAAGTGTCCAATATTGGAAAGGGTAAGTCAGGACTCAAGTATCAAAGAAATCTAACTCTAGAAGCTATCTCATAGCCACTGAATATATGTGACTAATGTGTACAATGTATACAAATCATTTATTTTTTTGTTTTTATTTTTTACAGTCATGGGGCTTGAACTCTGGGCCTGGGCACTGTCCCTCAGCCCTTCAGCTCAGGGCAAATGCTCTACCACTTGAGCTACAGCATCACTTCTGGTTTTCTGTTGGTTAATTGGAGATAAGAGTCTCACAGACTTTCCTGCCTGGGCTGACTTTGAACTGTGATCCTCAGATCTCAGCCTCCTGAGTAGCTAGGATAACAGGCGTGAGCCACCTGCACTGGCTCATTTATCTTTTGTTAACGTGAACAAATTAAACAAAATATTCTAGGGGCTGGGAAGGTGGCTCAGTGGTAGAGCACTTGCCCTGCATGCATGAGGCCCTGGGTTTGATTCCTCAGCACCACATAATCAAAAGGAAAAAGCCACAAATGGCGCTGTAGCTCAAGTGGTAGAGCACTAGCCTTGAGCTGAAGAGCTGAGGGGACAGCGCCCAGGCCCAGAGTTCAGGCCCCATGACTGAACCCAAAAAAAAAAAAATTCTAATAAGGCTATTTCAAAGGTAAGTAACAAGGGTTAGGAGTCAGGCAGATGGTTCAATTATAATCCTAGCTCCTTGGGCAAAAGAGATGAGCCTGGACATAAAAGTTTATGTGACTACATTTAAAGAGTGGGTACAATGATGCACACCTTTTTTTTTTGGTCGGTCATGGGGCTTGAACTCTGGGCTTGGGCGCTGTCCCTCAGCTCTTCAGCTCAAGGAGAGCGCTCTACCACTTGAGCTACAGCGCCACTTCCTGTTTTCTGGTGGTTTATTGGAGATAGGTCTCTCCTGCCCGGGCTGGCTTTGAACCGTGATCCTCAGATCTCAGCCTCCTGAGTAGCTAGGATTACAGGCATGAGCCACCAGCGCCCGGCTGATGCACACCTTTTAATGCACACCTTTTATCCTAGCTATAGGGAAGGACACTCACTGAGCACAATTCTCATTGAGCACAATTCCTACTGACAAGAA